ATAGATACAGTCAGCGAAGGGTTGGAGTCGGCACGGATCGAGCGGACGGAGAGGGTCACGTTGACTTGCCAATCTGCGGATTCGCTAGGGCGGACATTCGGGTTCTGGCCCACCTTGGAGATCTCGAGAGTAGACTCCTCAATGAAAATACCGCTAGCTTGAGAGACCAGCAGTGGGTGAGACACTGGGGTGACCTCGATGTTTGTACCCTTGTCGGTGTCGGTGTCAGACAACGTGACGAGGTAGGCTGGCTTGAAGACGCCTGATGGCGCGAAACCCGGGCCCTGGACGGAGAGTGAGGAAGACGAGAGTCCATTTGATGAAGGCGAGCGTACCCAATCCCACCCGAAGTCAGACGATATCTTACGGATGAATGCGCGCACGCCGGGCCACTCGAACTGCAGACAACAACTTAGTGATGGGCTAAGTTCGAGAGCGATCTTCAACTCACGTCGGGCGACAATTGAGGTGCAACATCAAGACGGTGGCTAACATTCTGGCCGTAGAGGAGCGGCGACTCGAAGGCGACTGTGAGGCTATTGTCGCCATTTATCGGGGACGCCAGAAAATCTGTGACATCGTAGACGTATTGCTGAAACTGGTTGTTGACCCATGCGACTGGATGACCCGCCACAGTCTGGGATAGATTGATCATCAGAACCAGCACGTACGCTGGGGCCTGAAGCACTCACAATGCTGGCTACCGTATCCAGTCCGTAGAAAACGAGCAAATCTTTGACCGTACGATTTCCCGCCAAACGGTCCGTAATAAGCGGACTCAGGTCCGCGTCATAGACCCAATTATCGGCGACGATCCACCTCTGGGAAAAATCTGTACGGAATCATGTCAGTAGTGTACCCATACATGGATGGTATGATACCATGGCGCTCACCATTGGTGCCCAGAAGGGCCTCCGGGATGACGTTTGCGGCCTTCAAGTCGAGATGAACTTGCGAAGGCTGACGAGCGGAGACCTTGACCAAGTTCTCCTGGTTCCGCAACGTCCAGTCTAGTTCTGAGAGGCTGAGAACCTCGGCGGCCACGATTGCCCCCTGGCATACCAGGGCGAGCAACGGCAAAAACATGGCAGAAGGCAAGACAGGAAGGAAAGGTGAGGGTCGGGATGGTGGAACGCGTTGCTCATGCTCGTAGAGGTTTATATAGATAATATCAGTGCACCAACCTCAGCAGTCTTTCATCATCACATATAGAGCGACGCGCCTCCCTCGAGGCGAGCGGCGCACGGCGTCCCCGTCCCCGAGACCCTTCCTGTGTCGGGCATGTCGTAACCAATATAGTAAAGTAACGGCAGACCGGCGACTCTCCTTAAAAACCTTCGTATTCTCCGTAGTCAGTGTAACGATTCCCAATCACATTCAAGCCATAAGGCTTGTAGGACCGCACAAACACTCAAGTCGCTCTATCCCGTGGAGAGACCTACCTGCATGGTTGGCCACTGATTGGACCCTGAAGGCGGAGACCTTCGGTATACGTGAGGATGCTAGTTTGGGGTAGTGCATTTCATCCGCCAGATTGTAACATGTCGGGGCTCGCCTTCCTCGTATCCCCGGGTAGAAAACGACGCGATTACAGCGTCGTCTCGGCCTATAAGGAATTTGATAGAGTAATAGCATGCATATCATGGCAGCCCCTTGTTGATCCGTCTGGCAGGCAAGCACCGGCCTAAAAGCTCGGTCATGATAGTCGCGGCACCGGCGGATAGGAACATACGTACTTACCGTGACGCCTGTCTCGGGCCAATGCCCGTCGAGGATGTGAGCACTCTGCCTGCGGTGAGCATGGTCGCGACGTGTATTTTCATGACGGTAGAACCACCCCAGGCTCAAAGGCTATCAGTGAAAAGACCGAGGACATGATAGCGAGAAGGAGGCGTGCGTGCGAACTGCGTGTCCGACTCGGTGACGCGCTATCTTGGGAGGCGGCCCACGTGATCGTGGCGTTGGCGATCCGGCAGCCGTGGCTGCTCCGCTCCCCGCGGACCCCGCCGTGCACTCACAACTCTCCTCCCGACCACCACCAACCCTGCCCTGCCGTCGCCCACCACGGCCGGGACGCACGACATCGACTTGCACCTCTCTGCTTATGGACTGGCAATTGAGGTAGCACAGGCACACCTCCGAACGATACCCTCTACTCCGCTGGATCCCGGACTCTGAGCCGTCATGCACACCAATCACCCGCCTCCGCTCTTTAGTCTCGTACGAATATCTAGTTTCCTCACCTCTATCTTGGTTGCCCTTGCCTCCGGGACAAACTATGTGGGTCCTATAGCTATCCTGTACGCGCGTAGCTCTGAACCAGATGGCTTCCTCAGGCATTCTCAGGTATGTCCGCAATGCTTATCAGTCTAGCTCTTGAGTCATCTGCCCGACCACGAACGCATCGCTATCGCCCAAATGTTGTTATCGCGGGCTGCGATACACAACGTCTGTCCTATCATGGCCTCATGCTTGCCTATTCGGCTAGCTAAATGTACCTCGCCCCCGTCCTCACCGACTTGACTGGATGCCCTAGAATCAGCTGTTTTGGCAAGGGGCCATCGCTCGTATTCAGACGCACGCACACTGGTGGCGGTGGCATGGGCCGCGCATCGCTGTGTACCCAGCGACGTGTTGGTCTCCGGTGGCCGCAGGCGAGCGTCTCTCGCTCTTGCACAGCCTACTCGTAACGTACACGGCGCGTTGGGCGTAACGAGGTTTTCACGCGACATGCGCATAACATGTGGTATCTTACTCAACGGCCAAACTGACGCGCCGCTTCCCAGCATATGGTCCACAACTTGGAGCCCGACTACAGCTCACGCATACCCAGATCAATGTCATTGGTCTCTCAGGCAATAGTGAGTATCTCCCCATCGGCTTTGTAGAACCCGCACACGAGTGCTGAACCTACCCCGAAAGTCGGCGTATATGGAACCGCTCCCATATGGGGCGGTCTTGTAGACAGACGAGGCCCTCAGTTGCCTATGGCCATCTCATTCTTCTGTCTGCTTTTCGGATACCTTGGCATTCGACAATTCTACATCAACGGTCTTCCGGGGAGCGCCAGTGAAATCAGCTTCCTGTCGCTGTGCGTCCTGGTGTTCTGCGGACTCCTCACTGGCATAGGCGGAAACGGCGGCTTGGTGGGCGCCATGAACGCCACTGCGAAGAGCTTCCCCGACAAGACTGTACGTTCACGTCGGACCCGCTTCGGTGGATGCACGACTAACGGCAGTCTCTAGCGCGCGAGTGCGAACGGAATAGTCATCTCCGGCTTTGGCCTGTCTGCGTTCTTGTTTTCCACCGTCGCACATACATTCTTTCCTGGGAATACTGCCTCGTTTCTGCTCGTCTTGGCTATCGGCACTGCCTTTCCGATGATCCTCGGTTTCATCCTTGTGCGCCCTATCCCTCCGCCTCACACCGACCCGTCCGGCCGCCTTGAAGACGGTACGCCTGACAGCCCCACCGACTATGGCGCAGGAGAGGGACACGGCGCAAGTTCACCGACTACATACTCTGTCGATAACACAAGCCACACCCACCTGTTGTCGCGCGATGTCGACGACGAGGAAGACGAGGTGACGCGCGAGCCAGCGATTGAGCTCGAGGAAGAAGAGCCGCTCGTTCCCTCCTCTGCCCATGGGCAGGTTGCGTCGGATTATGTCGTTCCTGGCCAAGTCGACTCGTTAGCGCTTAGCCCAACGCGAATGGGCTTCGCCCGGCATCGTACACACAGTGCGCGTTCGACGTCGAGGAGAAGCATCCGGAGTCACTTGGAGAAGACCCATGATGGACAGCCCAACGTTCACGGAAAGCGTCTCTTCAAGACCGTGAACTTTTGGTTGCTATTCACCATATGCTCTTTATGTGAGTATTCCCGCAGTTGTTCCCGGGCTTTGCTGACTGTGATATGTCTCCAACATAGTGAGCGGCACGGGGATCATGTGTACGTATCTCATGACGTGTCGAGTGATGCGCTATAAGCTCATTCACGTCAGATATCAACAATGTCGGAGCCATCTCCCAGGCGTTGTTTGCGAACAACAATCCCGACTACGATGAAGTCAAGGCCGCTCAATGGCAAGCGACGCAGGTGTCCACTGTTAGCGTCATGAACTGTATTGGGCGCATCGTAATAGGTATGCCTGCCCGCCGTAACTTGTGATATGGCTCTGTTATAACCGCTCCCCGTAGGTATCATCGCCGACTTTACGAAAAGCAAGCTGCGCCTCCCGCGCTCGTTCTGCATCGCGCTCGTCGCAGTGACGTTCATCATCTCGCAAGTGATGTGCTTCTCTATCGAGAGCGTCCGCGATCTCTGGAAGGCGAGCGCTCTCCTCGGCGTCGCGTACGGCGGCCTCTTCGGGCTCTTCCCCACCCTCGTCATCGAGTGGTTCGGCTTGCGTGAGTGATTCTTCTGCCGTTGGCGCTCGCTCGCCGAGGCTGACCCCGTCTCGTAGCGCACTTTTCCGAGAATTGGGGCTTCGTCTCGCTCTCGCCCATGCTCGGCGGGAACATCTTCTCCCTCGCGTTTGGGCGCAACCTCGACGCACACGGCACAGACGACGACGCCTCGCCCGCGGCGAACGCGACGCTTTCCTCCGTGACGTCGACGCTCTCTTCCCTCGCGTCCGCGACCACCGGCGAGATCCACGCTCGGGGCGGAATCCCGTCAGCGCACCACTGCATCGTCGGGCGCGAGTGCTACATCGACAGCATCAAGATGACGATTGCGGCGTGCACCATCGCTCTCGGCCTTGCGGTATACGCCGGCTGGCGAGACTTTAAGCGACAGCGCCGGCACGCCAGCCGAGCGGAAGGCCTGCCCGCGGTGGTCGTCTGGGAGGACGAGGAGTAGACTCGGTCCAGGATCGGTGCCGGGTGGATGGACTGTCTTGTATTGTAGATAGGGGCTGGAGCGCGTGTACCTAGAATTCCTGGTTGAATCGTAGACGTTGTGGAAAATGGAGCGGAAAAAACAGAAGGAAGCCAAATACCCCCGGCGGGACTCGAACCCGCAACTTCCAGATCTCGTCACAGCCCGGTGAAGTAGAAGTCTGACGTCATAGCCATTAGACAACGGGGGCCCGTTGAGTACAAACAAATTGACATATATTGACAGATCACCTTAAGGTTCCTGCCATGTTCGACCTAGAACGATGTCCGCCGGAGCGCATGAGTGCGGTCGGACTGCTTTCGACTTTCACGGTCAGGCCGCTGATGGAACTACGGTACCGCCGGGTCGGCGGATTTCGTGTCTCACTCCCGGCAGTTGTTCAACTAATATGGTGACGTGTTGCCCTCCGTCCTCATCCAATAAGTGGTCCACGATCCGGGTGTTCTCAGCGCACTGAACTCGGCAACTCGCACTCTCGCCATCAATATTGACTGTTCAACGCCGCATATTAGTTGGCGAAGTCACGTTCTTTCGTTGACGAACCATCGCTCACAATGGGAGCGCTCTTCTCGAGAGGCTTCAACCCTGACACCGATATCCCAGACCTCACGGGCAAGGTCATCCTCGTAACGGGCGGAAAGTGAGATATTCTACATTTAATCCCATTGCACCACCGAAACCAAGCTGACAGGTCACCCACAGCTCGGGTATAGGCTTTGCTACCATCCGATACCTCGCTCGACATGGAGCGAAGGTATATATGGGAGCCCGCAACGAACAACGCGCACAGGCCGCTATTGAACGTCTGAAGCGCGAGGGTCTCGGCCCCGGAAACGGAGAAGTGTTATGGCTGAAGCTCGACCTGAGCGACCCCCGCGAGGTCAAGCGGGCTGCTGAAGAATTCATGCAGCAAGAGCAACGGCTCAATGTCCTCAGTAAGGCGCCTTGCAACTTTTTCGATTTGTAGCTGATTTGTAGGAAATTGTGTCCAGTCAACAATGCTGCGATGTAGGTGGCGCTACTCAGGAATCTGCGTTTATGAGCTGATAGCGTCGTTCGAGGCTTTTGGTACCGTACCAGAAGAGCCACGACGGTGAGTTGCTGCGGAAGACATAGATATCATGTTCCTCTGACTCGCGCACAGGTATACAGGACATTGTGATGGTGAAGTACGCGTTTGAGCATTGTCATGCAAGAGCATCCCACTGAAGATTAGTGGAGTTCAGCTACATAGGGGCCTATACACTGACGAGAGCATTGCTACCTCTCCTGAGATCAACAGCTCAGGAACCCAACAGTGACGTTCGCGTGGTTTGCGTGGGTGTTGTACTTCCCTGAATATATGCGCACTACTGACACCAGGTTACAGCTAAACTCTGCACGGCACTACCATTGCCCCAGCGACGTTCGCTTCCGCGACGTGCACGACCTGAATAGAGACTACGAGGATACCTCTTTCCCGCAGCTATTACGGTATTGTACGTCGTCTGCTCGGGCCCAATAGGTTGATCTACACAACCTGACCACGACTCCAAACATTAGCATACACAAAGATCATGCAGCTTCTCTTCATCCGCGAGTTACAGCGTCGCCTGGACGACGAAGGTATCCCCATCATCCTCATGGCCGTCGATCCTGGCGAGGTCAACACTGGTGCGCCCCAATCTGCCTCCCGACTATGTCCAAGCCTTGATCATTGCGCATTGCCCGCGCCTCCCAGAGGGAGTGCAAGCGTATGCCGCCTCAGTCGGACCCATCCTCGCACCGATCTACCGGCTCATAGCAGACCTCACGTTCACGACGCCGGAGAAAGGCGCATATGGTCCCGTCTTCTGCGCCGCTTCTCCCGTTCCGGGTGCGGCTCCCAACGCTTATCGCGGAGCGTACCTGAAGCCGCCAGGGGTGCTCGCGAAGCCCAATGCTCTGGCTGACAGGGAAGACTTGAGGAAGGAGCTGTGGGCGACGACGGACGCTCTATTGAGGAGCGTGGGGTTGGATCTCCCACGCGCGTGATACCCGTAACGGGGAGACGTACGGAGCCACCAGCTACCTGCTATAGAACGGCCAACGGTACTATCTGGGAGAGGAGAAGGGTATCCAGCTTGCAGGCGCGGAGTAGACTGTGATATAGAGCGGGGCGTAGTAACGTCATACACGAACACAACATATAGCTATCTTATCTAAATCAAAGTCGCTTGGCTCACAAAGGCCGAGGCTCGTAAGCCAACCTTACGCCCGCCGCAACCCCTACCACCAGCCATGAGCAATTTGCGTCGGCATACTTCCTGTGGGTCATACAGAATCCGGGAGTTCCACCCCCGCATTCTTGAGAATCTCCTCCGTGGTCGCCCATAGCTCCCGCCTGAGCTCCGAGTCCTGCACGGCCGGATGCGTCGGCCCGTGGCTCGCAGGCTTGTTCAAAAAAGCACCCTTGTACTCATCCGAGCGTTCCCGGGGCACGGGCGATGCCGCGGCGAAAACCGTCCCCAGCGAAGCTTTAGCGGGGCTTGAGAACAACAGGTTGGCGATGGTGGAATATATGGGCGCGAGGATCGGCCCTGCCGACTGAGCGTAATTTTGCGCGCCATCTTGTACAAGCGGGTGGTCAGTTCAGAGTGCTGCTTGTACGGAGTGGGGGATGAGCGCACCTGTGTTCGTGGGGCCTGGGTCGACACCGATGCAAAGGATGGGTACGCCCTCGGCATCAAGCCGGCTTTGCAGCTCCTTGAGGAACATGAGCTGCATGAGTTTGCTCAGCGCTGTGGTATCCATCAATGGGTGAATTGTGCCAATAATGGCGTGGAAAGGTCATACAGTAGCGCATGAGACGAGGAAAAGTGCTGGAAGCAAAGTCCCGGTTGAAGTCGTCTAGATTGCGGAAGCGCACGTCGTTGGGGCATTGCGTCTGCGCGCTCGAGCTGACCTTAGTTGATCGTGAGCGGCTACTCTTGGCTGACTGTGCGACGAGGAGAACATACGTTGACGATGCGGACGTCGTTGTTACCCTGGAGCGCTGTCCTCTTGAGGAGTGGTAAAAGTGCCCTAGTGAAGACGAACGTTCCCACATAACTAAAGGAGCAATATTCTTCAGTAAGATCAGTAAACCCTCGTTAGTTTCTGCACGTACTTGACCATGACAATATCCTGAACCCCTGTATGAACGATGAGTGTGATGCTTTGTCGCAGGTCTCAGTAAACCAACTCGCCGTCATGTGTCTTCTGAAAGGGCAACAAAAGCCTGGGGTAGTAGTTAGGCGGGCTGCGTAGAGGGACCCCCAACCGAGGTACTACGATTACTCACAAGGCCGCATTGTTGACTGTCAAACCGATCAAGGTAGAACTTCTCAGTCGCAGCTCCCACTGCTACGCAAAGTAACAGGCACTCGCCTAATATATCGAGCCGTTGCTCTTTCTGCAGAAAGTCCTCGGCGGATTCCTTGACGTCTCGCGGGTCGCTGAGATCGAGTTTGTGCCAGAGCACCTCGCCGTTACCCGGTGCGAGTCCCTCAGTTGTGAGTTTGTCGATGGCGGCCTGCGCTTTCTGCTCGTTTCGCGCAGCCATGTACACTTTTGCACCTCGTCGCGCGAGGTGCTGTATCACGGCATAGCCAATACCCGCACTGTGCATAACGGATATCGGCATCGTGAGAATCGTCGAAGCGCACGAAGGGGAGATGCACCCACTTTCCTCCGGTCACCAGCACAACCTTACCGTGCAAGTCAGGGACGTCTTCAATGGGATCGAACGATCTCGAGAACAGGCCCATCGCTGACGGTCTTATTTGATGTAGATGTAGCTGAAGGAAGGCGTGTGAGCCAAAGTACCCCTTACCTCAAACGGAGTCAGGCGGTTAACGGAGCAACTTACGGCACATCACAACATGTAGCGAATAGGAAATACATGACATTCACGCCCCTTGTTCTCAATCCCGGCGTCACCTGTGATCCGCCCTGCCATTCTATGTATGCTCAGTGATCCGCTTTTGGCCGCTGTCGATGTCCGCCTTCGCCCTCGGAAGACGGCGAGCGCGTCTGATGTCGTCTGAGGTGACGCTAGGTAGCTGATACCACAGTTGTTCCCAGGACGCAAGCTGCGTGTCCAACCATTTTTGGATGTCGACAAACGCAGCGATGTACACCACATGAACCTGAGCTGGAGTCTGGAGAAGAGGCTCGGCCGACAACCCAGCTGGCCATACGCGATTCAAAGTATTCTGGGGACGGGATCCCGCACGCAAGCATACAAAGGACACCTCCGATGCACATGGTTGGCAAGTTAAACATTTGCTGTCCTATAGGCAACGAGATACGACATGCCGAACTTGTGAGCCTTGAACGAGGTGAGTGGAGTGCGTTCAAACAATCAATCATGTGCACTGTACGGAAAGGTAGTGACTGTAATAAAATTTAATGAGAATGTCGAATGAGGATTAAGAAACAACTAAGAAACAACTGAAGGTGCAGATGCGAACCGGCGCGCGCGTGAAATCCAGGGACCAGGAGGACGGGAAAGTTGCGCGGGCGCTCCGGCGTGGTGGATTGCCGGAAGCCAAATCGAGATTGAGCGCGGATCGGACGAAAGCGATCCCCGACCCGGCCGTCGTGTCGTCCAGGTTCCTCCGCGACCGTTCGTTCTCCATCCCAACCAGCCTACAGTACCAAGGGTGGTTGTACCGGACGCTCACAATAGCCTGGGGTCCTCCTTCCACACTCTCGTGCAGCCAGTTTCTTTGCTCTGCCAAATGACAGCCACGGCACTCCGCAGGGCCACCGCCCGCGGGTTACGTCCAGTACAGTATAGATGGTCGAGTTCCCGGCGGGATCGTACCGCCACCGTTCCGAATGCCCAACGTGCCGGTAAAAGTGTGGACCCACACAATCTGCCCAAATCGGAGCCAGCCGATCGTTCCTGGTCTGCCTCCTCAGGTTCTCGACGACGAACCGTCAGCCAGAAATGTTTTCTCTGACAAAGCCACTTGTCCCGCGCACACACTTGCGTTCCAACTGTGGCACCCGGCCCCCACACTAGGCCCGGATCATGTCTGTCCCGCTCCCAAAACGCGTACTCAGCCCGGGAGAGCGCGACATAACGCCCTTGCTCCTCGTCGCTCTCGTTCCGCTCGCTCTCTTTCCTGGTTTCTCTCCCCTTCCTGCCTGAGGGCTTTGCCATCATGGGTCTCGTCGACGAGA